TTCCTCCTCTTCCCTCTCCTCCTTCCCTCTTTCTTCTCTCTCCTTCTTCCCTTCCTTCCTCTTTCCTCCTCTCTTTCTCCTCCCTCTCCTCCTTCCCTTTCCCCCCCCCCCCCCACCATAACATTTTTTTCGCTGCTACTTCATAATTGTAATTTTGCAACTATTATGAATCATCCTGTAAATATCTGTTCAATCATTGGTGGAGTTCAACATGATTTTTGATTGTAGGTGAACTATAAATCCCAGCAACTACAACTCTCAAATATCAAGGTCTATGTGCCAAGTTTGGTTCAATTCCATCGTTGGCAGAGTTCGCAATGCTCTTTGATTGTAGGTGAACTATAACTCCTAGCAACTACAACTCCCAAATGTCAAGATCTGTTTTCCCCAAACTTAACCAGTGTTCACATTTGGGCATATTGAATATTCTGCCAAGTTTGGTCCAGATCCATCATTGTTTGAGTCCACAGTGCTATCTGGATGTAGGTGAACTACAACTCCCAAACTCAAGGTCAATGCCCACCAAACCCTTCCAATAATTTATGTTGGTGATGGGAGTTCTGTGTGTCAAGTTTGGATACGCAGAATGGATTTTCATTCACTGGACCAAATTTAGCACAAATACCCAATATGCCCAAATTTGAATACCAGTGGGGTTGTGGGGGGAGGAAGGGGTTGATTTTGTCATTTGGGAGTTGTAGTTGCTGGGATTTGTTGTTCACCTACAGTCAAAGAGCATTCTGAGCTCCACCAATGATGGAATTGAACCAAACTTGACACACAGAATTCCCATGAGCAACAGAAAATACTGGAAGGGTTTGTTGGGCATTGACTTTGAGTTTGGGAGTTATAGTTCACCTACATCCAGAGAGCACTGTGGACTCAAACAATGATGGATCAGGACCAAACCCGGCATGAATACTCAATATGCCCATTTGTGAACACTGGTGGAGTTTGGGGAAAATAGACCTTGACATTCAGGAGTTGTAGTTGCTGGGATTTATAGTTTACCTACAATCGGAGAGTATTCTGAACTCCACCAATGATGGAATTGAATCAAACTCTGCATACAGAACTCCCACGACCAAGAGAAAATACTGGGTTTGGTGGGCATTGAGCTAGAGTTTGGGAGTTGTAGTTCACCTACATCCAGAGAGCAGGAGGAGGGCTTTTGGTAGGAGGATGCGCTGTCTGTTTCCAAAGAGGAAGAGAAGGACGGGAGAAGAGACCTTCAAACTTCTTTGCTAAGACCATCTGAAATATGTGTTTCCTGATGGTCTTTGGTGACCCCTCTGAAGCCTCCCTCGTGACCCCTGGTCCAGTGGTCCAGATCCACACCATCCAAGCACTACATTCCTTTGGATGCATCCATTCTTCCCATGGAACGCCCCATCCTTGAGTCATATATGTGTGTTGGAAGGTTCCTTGCCTGGCTTTCCCTGCATGAATGTTAGTCCTGGCCCCGAGGCTCCCGCCTCCGTCTTCCTCGCTTGATGGGCCAGAGAAAGCACAACACAGCAGGGAAAGCGCTGGCACCGGCCTCTTTGGAGGAGGCTTCCTTGGGCCGGGAGGCTCCCTGCTGTGTCCCTGGCTTGGAGGTTTCTTTGGATTTGGAAGAAAGAAGGCCTTGTTCTTAGGCCCAAGTCAACCTCCTCTATTTCTCTTGATTTTCTTTCTCTT